TGTCGTTGTCGTTCATCATGTACAACAAAACAATGTCCATGTTATGCAGCAGCACGTGAATGTGATCCAGATTTATGTATACAATGTGGTGCAGATGATTTTCGAAATGGTAATAATAATAATAATGAATTCATAACAAAATCTTCATGTTCATGTCATAATGTTGCTATACAACGTAGTTTACATAAACCACTATTATTAGCTGAATCTGATGTTGCTGGTTGGGGAATATTTACACAAGTTAATATTCAACGAAATGAATTTATTGCTGAATATTGTGGAGAAATTGTAAGAATTTGTCGATCGAAAAATAAATTGTAGAAAAAAAAAAGAAATTTTTGGTTTTTCATTGTTTTTTAGTTAACACAAGACGAAGGTGAATTACGTGGACGAATGTATGATACAATCGGTACAAGTTTTCTATTTGATCTTAATGAAGAATATATGGTTGATGCAACACGTCGTGGAAATAAAATACGTTTTGCTAATCATTCAATAAATCCAAATTGTTATGCTAAAGTTATTATGGTTAATGGTGATCATAGAATTGGAATTTATTCGAAACGTTCTATATCGGCTGGTGAAGAATTATTTTTTGATTATCGTTATGGAGCTAATCATCATTTACGTTTTGTTGGTGTTGAAAAACATACTCATGAAGATCAAGCTGATACATTATTGCTGTGATTTTCATCCGTTTCTTTTTCTGCTTTCTATTCCGTATTGTTGATATTATTTGTATAAATCATTTTTGTTTTTTTTTCTCTCCGTATATGCGCGCTCAGATATTGTAAAACATTGAAAAAAGAAAATTTTTGTATTTATCAATGTAGATAAGATGGATGTGCCTTTTGTTTTTCTTTTTTCGTGTTTTTTTTTTGATTGTTGTATACTAATTTGTTGTGTTTAGAATTCATAAAACATGTTTGTTTCTGTTGTGCTTTTTTTTTTGAAGAAAATTTTGTTTAACTGAATGTAAGTTATGAATTGAATATGATTCTTTTATAAAGAAGTTTGTTCATTTGTATTCTTATGAATTAGAATTTAATAACAAACATTGCTGAATATGATAGAGTATTTAAAATACTTTGTTTAATAATATTGATGACGAAAACAACTCGTTGATGTGATGCAGAATTAAGACATCATTTTTGAAATGTACAAGAAGCACAAAAAAAAGTTACAAACAATGTTTTCGAAGGAATTTAAGCAATGAATTGTCTGATCTTGTTTTTCATTGATGATATCAGGTAAAAGTGGTAAAGACCGGAGAAAGTTTCTATACGACATATTTACTAATTATCTTTGTTTACTCACGAGGGAATTACTAAAACTGATACCTACTGTTTGAACTCATCCTGAGTCCATAAGTAGATCTTGATAAGCTTAGAAAAATCTTTAAAAGGTTCGTCTCCGTGTGTCATGGGAGTCGAATTAGACTTGTTTTATTTCAATTATTGATTCAGCTCTAGATAAATACCGAAAAATAAAAAAAAGGATAAGTTCAAGGTAAAATATTGTCTATATAGGGTATGACTGTAACTCTTCTCTTCATGCACTCAAACACATATCATCATTCACACTGACAACTATACCAAACACCCTGACATCTAATGAAGCATCTTAGAATAAAGATTATTATTTGGATTGTTAACAAAAAAAAATGAACAGCATAGACTGTTGAAATAAAATAATATTTTGTTTTCTCGGAACAAAAAGCTTCACTGACGAAACTATTTGATTCTACTAAATGGACTCTATATATTGAAATTTTAATGATGCCTTACTTCTAATATGGCAAGAGACCATCCATGAAGAACATTCATATAAAAATCGCATTTTCTACTAATTTCTCCTGTCTATCGAATAATATCTGGTTTTGACTGACTTCCTCCTCGCATGTTTTTGAACATGCAACTTCTGTATTTTTTTAAAAGAGTCTATTTGCTTAAATATCTCTTTGTATTAAAGAACTGCTATACTTTATACATAAACTATTTACTCGTGCATGGTGCGTCGAAGAATTCTAAGAAGTTGTTCTTTTGAAAATGCTTCTCAAAACCAAATCAACCCAAAAGTTCAATGAACAACGCTTAAAAAAAGACAAAACACGTAGCAAATGGCGAGACAATCAAGATCGTCTGACTCTCCTCTCTTCCTTTTTCTTGACGTTCTTAACGAATAACCTCCACTAACTTGTATCGAATATCTAGTGTTATATTGATCATTTAAAGGATAAAGTTTATAAACTATTAAAAGAGAACGTAAAAATAATTTTTGTTTTGTTTTTGTTTTTGTCTATGTTTGTACGAAATTAAATAGTATTATTTGAGGACAGTATTTTTATTTGTAATACAATCAATCTTATAGACATATTCGATAGAGTTTTTTTGTAAAAGTTCATTTTCGAATTCGAAAATTTGTTTACAGATCTCTACTGATTGATTATGACTACAACAACATAATTTTGATTGAGAAGAATATATTTGAATAGAAATCGATCCGTGTGTATTATTTAATTGATTTGTATATGTTTGAATATCTATCAATATTTGATTTAAATCTTTAGCAGTTTTTATATTTTGATCATTGTCTTCATTTGTATTTAAATTAATTGTCATATGTGGAAGATTAATTTTCTTTTGAAAACCACAGTTTAAAAATAAATCTTTTACATTATTTGATGTTTGATTTAGATATATTCGTCTGGAATTACTGCGAGTATTTTTATTATAATCATTGTTTGAATTGAAAAACGATTGACTATGACATAAACTGAGACTATTTGATCGATAGAGATGTTTTAATTTGAGTTTTTGCTGTTTGTTGGTTGATGAGTTTGCATTACTTTGCTTCCATTGAGGAGAAACATGAAATGAAAGAGGACTAGTTATCATGGAATAGAAAACGACATTTTCAAAAATTAGAAAAAAAGTAAAAGAAAAAAGCGCTAAGAAAAATATTTTATTACATAGCAGTATTCATTTCAAATCGATCGGTTTGATTTATCTTGTGATAAGAAACAAAAATGAAGAATAGTACTATGATTGCCGACGTATCACTGATCGATGAACACAGAAAGTTATACACGAATTCTTCATCATGAAAACCGTGAGCACAAAGAAAGTTCCGCATCGAAGAAGGAAGAATGCTTTCACCATTCAGTTATCTAGCTGTATGGAATGCTGCTTAGCAGTATATTCAATAAGTCGATATCTTGTGAATGATACGAAACAAATAGCCGTTATTGACTTGTCAGGGTCATGTCATAACTGGTAATACTGAGGTTTGAGCACAATGTTTTGTAGATAGATGTCAAACAACTTAGCTACTTAGTCATCGCAGCTCAAACTCAGTACTGAAAAGTTGAGTAGGCACAAACAATGAAGGTAAGCGGTGTAGGTATCAATGGAAATGTAGGGAAGACTAGCATGCACTCACATCCATATACATTAATTGATCTTTGAATGGACGTCATATTTATTTTCAATTTTGTCAGTGCTGAACTTTCCTCGTGTTTATCATTCCGGTTCTCATTATCAACATGATTTTAATTCGTTCCAATAGAAACTTGTATTAAATCATAGAAACTAAACGTTTTATTCAATTTCAAATATATGTATTGCGACAAAAAATACACGGGAATGCTTCACCGAACTCAGAATTGATATATTCTGAATGATTTGAGCGTATCAAAAGAAACTGTTCATTTTATTTCTTTTTTGCTTAAATATCTTTTATTTAATAGTTGAATTACCACCGTTCAGTTGTTTGATCGAGTAAGGTAGAATATAGTATCGCTGGATACCATTATATAAACATATATATATATATTGTGGATAAAATCTTTAAAGCACCATATCCATGAAGACTAAATATTGGAATAAAAAAAAAATGTTAATTTAAAAATGTTACTTAAATAGTCTGAGTAGTAAAGAAGGTCTCAATAGAACTGTATATATTGGATGTTCCAATAAAGAAAATTGATGCATACTATAATATTGAGTAATATAACCCAAACAAAAAAACAAGAATTAAAAACATATATTTCCATATCTTCCAGTTGACTAAGAATATTCTGGTTGGAAGTCATTGCTTGCATTAGTTGAAATCCAATGTCCATAAAAGGACAATCGCTGGTTATAACTATCTGTCATCATAGATTGTACTAAGAACATTCGGCGTGTATACTATTTAGTTTTAGATAGTGATGTATATAAATAGAACATAATCATAATAAAGAGGACACCGAAGTTTGTCATAGATATTTATGTAATAGAAACATAAAAGAGAATAAACGTGATAATCAGTAATCCATCACTGCTGAGTTTTAGATTAAATCTAAAACAAAAGAATAAATCCATTCTCAAATATTAGTGTTCTATACGATAAATAGTATTTTAATCGAAAAAAAAAAGAAACGAGTTTACATCAAAAAGACTCACAACGACGTAAATTACCAGAAAAAATTCCATTTTCTAATGGGTAAGGCTGCAACAAATCTTTGTATCAATTATAACCATTTTTATTCGCTCTACTCAATACCGGTACAAAATTACCAAATCTAAAAAGGGAACTTCTAAGATCTGGTTGGATTTGGTGGTTTTTTCCTATCGAAAAACTATGATCTTTATGTAGAAAAATAAGATGTGTTGCACCCCTCCAAATGGACATCCATCATCAGTTATACTATCAGTACTCCCGTCAGTTAGGAAAATGTATATTATTATTTTCAAGTGCCACTTGAAAAAGCACACTAATAAAAAATGACTCTTATTACAAGACCGAAAATCATTACTCCAGAAAATACAAATGTATATCGCTTTCATCATGAATATGCATAATGAAAAAGTATAAAATTGAAAGAAAAAAATCAATAGTAAATCATGCTGAATACTCGCCTAATAATATTGAATGTGCTAGACTAAAACCTAACAAAAACAAAGAAAAATGAAATATATTCAAGGCATTTATTTCACGGATACTTTTTCATTAAACAGTCAATCTGATATAGTTAATATTGTACCAATACGAAAAAGTAAAGAGCAACCAAGATCAAATAGATTATGAATCAAATACTCGCATTGGACCAATAACACTGCAAATAATTGAAGCTGAATAAAATGTTGTCGCTTTCGAACATATTCATTCGGAATATTTTCAAGTACGAATGTAATAATACCTACTAATCCATAACCTTGAATTTGTGATGCAAGAATAAAACAAGCAACTTTTTTCATGATGTATTGAATCTTTATAAAATACACATTGAATAGGAATAATATCAATACTCATAGCAATGCCCTATGAACATGAAAAAATTCTAATAAATAAATTGTTTTTTTTTAAATCTTATACTAGCTGTTGCATTAGCCCTTATAGCAATAATGCAACGTTGCTTTATAGTAAAAAAGACAGGATTTAAATAAATGTGCCTTCGTTTACCAAGTGAATGAATAAAAGGTTCGAATATATAATATTGTTGCTAATAATTGAGCTACTATTATTTGAATACTTAATGGTAATGTGTATAAAGAAAAAATGAACGAAATGTGAAATATAACATTGATAGATAATAATAATTTGATACATTAATAGATACTTCTTCATATGATGATTATTCCATAAAATATAATCATTCATGATCATTAAATAATAATGAGTTCTCTGATCAAACAAAAACAACATAAATTTTTATTTATGTTTTTGTAAACAATTTCGTTTTGTTTTAAATACATTTTCATGTTCTTTAATCTATAAAAAAAAACATTGAATTTATATCGGTTAGATTATTCGAAGTATACGACATTTTTATTAAACGACTGCCTAATCATCGATAACATGTTGTTTGGTGTAATCTTGTTACTTTTTTTTCTCAACGAAATATATAGTCATCACGTAACAATCAATACATATATATGCTCAATTCATTGAAGCATATCGGCCATGGTCTATGACGTATGACCCATCAAGGAGAGAAAAAAAGCTGTTATTCATTATATTATTCTTATTATATCTTTGGTTTTAAAAATTATTTGTTTATTAAATTCACATTTTTAAAGATAAATTAATCTTAGGTTTTCAAAAAATTTAAGCCTTTCGTAAATATATAATTAAACTTGATAATCTGAATGTTATGTTTTAAAATTTAAACCAATTTTTAGATAAAATAATCATTCATACTTTTTCTTTTCATTCTTATGATATTTCTTTTTAAGTCTAAAAATAATTTACAAAAATGATGGAAGAATTTGACAAGAATTAATATTATAATACATAATTATTTTTTACATGAATAATTCTATCAAAAGAAAAAATTTAGCAACTGATTGATTATGTTTGAAAACTAGAAAGTGTTTGAATAAGTTAATAGCTATTCGTTTTGATTTGTTCATTGACATGACATAATTATATATTTCTGGATGTGTGAAACTATTTGAAAATAGTTAAATTGAGACAAAAAATGTTGTTTTAGATAAACAAGTGGTATTACTAAAGTACACTTTGAATAATAAAGACTGATTTTTAACTGCAATTATAATTTATATTATCTATCAAGTTTTACTCTTATGTTTTTCTTTTATATTGATCTTGAATTTTTTCTATGTAACTATTTGATATCTCTTTCGATTTCTCATTTACCATCAGATCAGTAATTGATACGAGATAATTATGAAAATATCGAATCATTGGAAAAATCTCCATCAAGATATATTAGGTAATTAAAAACATATTTACTAATATTTAAAAATGTATATCAGTCATTCTATGTAAGTCATGACCTATTATCATAGAAAGTTACTAAATCTCAATCTTAGATACTTGTAAAAATCTATTCCATCTTGCAGAGCATATTGATTTAGGTATGAAAATTTCAATCTTTCGAACAAATGTTATAGAAAAATAATCATTTCAATGGATCTTCTCTGAAGAAATGGATGAGATGTTACTCAAATGTGTTTTTTAAAATACTATTAAACATAGAATTACTTGATAGTGCACACAAAATGTTGGGAGATCTGATTGAACAGAATCAGTCATAGCTTATCATGAACTGGCTCATATGAACAATATATGCGATCGAAAAGAAGTTTCTAGTAAATTCTAGAAAAACAATAATAGAGATAACCTCAAGTAGCAAAAAGAAAATATTCTTTTCCAGTAGGCTAGTAATACAAAAATCTATTGCAAAACAAATGGCAAATTTTTGAAATGGAAATTTCCATTTATTTCATGATTTTGTAGATACAAAATTTTGTCTTTTCTGTTCTACAAACTTAAATATCGACCATTGAATTTTCATCATCATCAACAATTATTAAACAAGTACTAATAACAGTAATTTGAAATAAGACATTTCTCAACATACGGTTGTAAGGTTTTCTTCTAACGACGAGGACAATAGACAAAAGTTAGTTGAACTTGTTTTTTTTTATCAAATAATAGTGTATTCTTCTAAGACCGTAAGTATCCTTCTTTGAGATTCATATATTAACTCGGAATCATTTTGATTCTATAAGTAATAGTATAAGTACATCGAGAAAAGATAAGTGTTCTTTGATAATTTAACGAACGAAAAAAATATTTTCTGCCATTTTATGTTAATTCTCTTAGCTACTAGGTCTACAATATTAACAAAGAGATTATTTTGTTGACTTTATATATAATGATGATTATCCATTGTTCTCCATTGAATAACGATAATGAGTACTATAGTAATTTGTATTTAAAAGTTTAAGTTTAAACTGAAACTTTTATTTTTTTTTTTGTTCTGGCATTTCGTATCGAAGTTTAGATCTACAAATGATCATTAGCTGTAGGAAATGGCACAATCATTTATTGCTTAAGAAAATAAGATAAATGAACAATCATGCATAGAGAAAGCATCACTGTTCAGACAATGAGTTATATTCATTAAACATACATATTATGCCAATATCTTGTAAATAGGCATTCATTTGAAAAAATGAATATAAAACGACATTTTCATATTTTATGATAAATCTAATATCACGTGTAGTGCATTAAAATTTTCGATGAATATAATTTTAATGTATGTGTTTCATCTAATAAAAATGAATAATTTGTTCTTATAATTATTTTCTTATGTCAGACTATTATTGATTCTTGTAAATAATATCCATTTCAGTAGAAAGATTTTCTTATCAGTTATTGTCTTGATCGAAGCGAATTTAGTTGCTTTACAATTTATCATAGATTTTACTTCATCTTAGCAGATTATTGAACTGAAATTGAATTATAATATAACACCTATCATTAGATCTATACTTCTACTTAATCGTCACATCGACTTACCACCTATTCCTCAACTAGTAGTATATGCTATACGATTAAACTGAGGTCTTCATTACTTGAAACATCAATATGTGTTGCTGACCCTATTATGGGAGGATAATCTTATACTATGGTGCATAAATTAAAAGTATATTCAAGAGAACGGAATGTGATTAATGTCAATAGACTTACTTATCTTAAATAAACTATTTTTTATGAGTTTTATTTTTGTGCCTAACATGTGTATACATATTTTCTTCTTTTTATTTCATAGTCGAAAATTTAAGTATTATTTTTCATGTAATACATATAATCAAGTTAGTAGAAGTGAATAGCTATAAAAAAAAATTATTGATTGAAAGCTTGTTTGACTATGATCGAAAATACTGTGAGCTTCAAGGAAAGCAGCATCCACATAACCGAATTGTAATAAAAAATAAATATTATTAATAATCATTCACTGTCCAATCTAGCTTGACAAAAATGTGCATTTGGATTTCTTCCAAGAAAAATTGTTCAAATTTCTTTTTCTTCTTTAAGACATACATTTACAACGAAAGTACACTGTTTAATGTTGATTCTCTACTAAGGATGTAAGGTCTCAGTGTACTGGTCACCGATGTCACACTGGTACCGGTGTTCATTGAAGTACTGGGACATATCGCTATAAAAATGTATCTTTTGATGGAGTTGATATATCAGAATTACACTAAACACAGATGTCAGTATAGTTAGTGCACCAGCTAACCTTGTGCCGATGACTTACTGCTCATTATTTCAATTTTTTGCACCAACACTGCACATTCCTGTTCTCTACTGACAAATACTTGCTACTAGTTGCCATCTAATGTATAGATAAAGATTATGATCTGTTGTTGATAAACACTTCATTATCTTCAAAAACTTAATTAAATAAACAACTAACGAGGGAACCGTTTCAAGTGATTCACGCCGATTTTGCTTATATTTTGCCCATATGTAGGGGTCAGTATGCTAAGAAAAAGCCTAAGAGGATTTAGGCCCATGTTGCTTCTTTCGAGGGTTATGGCCATTTTACTGATTTTTCGGCCTATGACAAGGTATTTACAAAAAATTCAAATGACGAAATTATGTCTTGAAATTTTGCCCATATGTAGGTCTCNATAAAATCAAATTTAAATCCATTAATCAATTAGAACAAGAAATTATAAATCTTTTGTTTTTTTACCATGGAGTGTTACAATTATGTGTTAATGTCATATATCGTACACCCATTTGATAGAAAAGTCTCAAAATCGAAAATGAACTTTCAATAGCTTGTCCACCTTCAATACCAAATAAACTTGCTATACGTTTAGCAGCAAATGCTTGTCGAACTTCTTTAGCTGTTGTAGCCATTTGAAATACATCTGAATATTTAGCTATAATTCGATTCATAAGATCAATTTGTTCCAGAAAACTTATTGTTGCATCCTTTCCTTGATATGTACAATCCGTATAGATTGACCAAAACTATTATGAATTTTAAACATTTTTGTTTTTTCTAAGTCATGCAAACAAAAAAACTCGAAATATACCTGTCCTCCGACTTGTCCTTGTCGTAAACGTGTTATATCTGTATGTGATGGTGTGTCAGGTTGTACTTGGTATTGTTTCATATTGTATAAATTCAGATTACTTATATTATTTTGAAAATTATAACGAATAAGCCAAGCCAAATCGTTGTGTCTTGAAAAAACGAATTTGATATTTAGATATAGAAATATTTTGAAAAAAAGTAACTAATATTCGCGCCAGAATTAAAGAGGGACGAGTGAAGCTTAATAATTCAACAATAATAACAGTTAGGGAAATTCGTTTTTCAGAAACTCAAAGAGGAGAACACCGAAAATCTTTTTGTTTAACACTATGTAAGAGAAAATGATGTTAGAATCCATGATTCTCTCTAAACTTTCAAAAACACACATGAAAACAATGTTTCGTTTCAAGGAAATTTTGATAAAAATTAAATGAATCCAATCTAATTTGACGGAATACATACGCAATTTCGTTTGTTCAACATTGAGATATGGAAAGACAATCATCTGAATCGTGTCTTGAACTAGAAATCTGAACTTTCTGCATCAGAAACACATGTCAAAATCAAAATTACAACGAAATGGAGCGCTATTTTTATGGATTTTTGAAAGATTCTTTTGCAAAGATGATGAATTCTAAAATATTTTTATCTTTTATAGTATCAGACAAAAAATTACATCCGAAGTTCTTCTTCGATTGTTAGAAATCTCAAGTCGCTTACTATTGCCGTTGTCGAAGTATTTAAGTTACGCCTATCTCTTTCTAGCTGTGGCCTAGATATTACGGTACTGATCAAAATTATAGAATTACTATCTTAGTTTCGTTATTTTGGAACCAAGTGACGTTAGCTTTGCTTGAAAGCCTCATAAACAAATAGAGAAGCACCTTTCGAGCATATTCATACAGACGACTTCGAAAAATTATCCATATGTAAGTTTTAAATGATTTTTTACCGATCAAGCCAAAATTGTTTGAAAGCATCGTCTGTATTCAGTATTTTGGCAACGAGACTTGAAGTTGCGGTATAGCTGCTTTTTGACAGTAGATTCGAATAGAAAATATTTATCCATTGAGAAAGAGACATAAGCGAGCGTTGTACATCACTTTGCTCCAGAGATGCACACAGTATCAAAACATGTCGCATGTTTCTTTAGAAAGTAGACAAATTGTTTGAATGCATTTCTTGTTTTACCATGAGAGCAAACGTGTGCCAACCCGCTTTAGAATAGGTTTATGTGTTTGGATCATGGTTTTCAAAAGAATTTATATCCACTAAATTATTTCTCGGGATGTTACTTGTTTGTGCGAAGAAAAAACGTAAAACGGTTTAAAAATTCGTGAGTACTTTCGTTGTTACTATTACTATTGTAAGTATCTCTGGAATAAAGTTACGTGCAGAGTTCGCGAACATCTCTTTTCCCATCAATAAAGATTTTCTATTCGAATCTACTGTCAAAAAAACAGTAATAGTGTTACTTCAAGTCTCATAACAAAAATGCTAAACAAGGACGATGCTTGGAAGCTATTTTGGCTTGATCAGTAAAAAGCATTTAGAGATTCAAATATAGACTATTTTTCGAACGCGTCCGTATGAAAATGTTCGAAAGGTGCTTCTTTCTATCTCTATGTGGCTTCCAAGCAAAGCTAACCTCACTCTGATTCAAAATTAATGCAACTAAGAAAGTGCTTCTATAATTTTGGTCAGGCAAAAATTGGCAGATTTTAGCACGAAAGAATAAAATTTTATTGAGGATCATTAACAGTAGTAATTTTCATTTGATTTTAATATGAGAAAGTACTTGACATTTTTCTTTTGAAGAATTCATATGATTCAATTGTTCTATGATGCCCATAAAATATCGAAAAGATATTTCAAGTACTATTATTATAATACTTGATATTGTCTTCATTACTTTATTGATTCAACAAATACAATAGATAATGTTAATACACAATATTCTTCTTTAAAAAACAATGATTAAGATTATTTTCTTGTTTAAAGTATAATACTCGTTTGATTTCACCATGTTCAAAGATAATATCAATCTTTTATGTTTTTAGTTCGATTATAAGTATATACATAATGATTTTCGATGTGATCAATGAACTACATAGGAATATTTGATGCTTCGATCAACAATATGCAGTGCTTAGAAAAATAAAGCAAAAATCTATTTTTGTGCGTCTATCACGTCGACTATTCATCGAAGTCGGTATGATTGCATGGGGGTGAGAAGTTATTGTTATTTTTTGTTATTAATAACAATAACAAAAAAAGTTATTTGTTATTAATAACAAAAAAATTACAAATAACTTTTTTTTCCGAAAAATCTTAGTTATGCTTTGTTACTATGTAAAAGTATACCAGTTCTATTTGCTCATTATTGTCCGATTGCTCGATGATGTTACTGACCGCAATCTCCATTAGATAACCTATGAACGTGAGAAAAATCCTAAAAAGATCTTTTCAAGTATCTTGCTCACCTACAGCTAAAATTTACTAATCGGTTTACGAGGAACGATTCCTCAATCTTCNTTGAGGAGCGGGGTGGGGACGGAGTGGAGCAATACCTTACATATGAAATTTTGAAATCTTATAATTTTAGTTGTCTTAATTGATTACCATGATCCATTACTAAAATATCATCTTGAAACATTAATTGCTGACTATGAACAAGAATGGATTATATCATCTATTTATTTACAAACCAATACTAAATTGAACATTGAAACAATTACATATCAATCTCGTTATCAATTGAAACTATTAGAAAAATGTAAATATATACATATTTATAGAAATTCTTTTGATTTTTGCTTTTTCTTTCAATTAATTCTTTTTTTTCATACAATTTTAGTATGTCAACATTTGAATTCAACAAATTATTTATTTGCTATAACACATTTTCGTTATCAATCACCAGTATTTGTGCATGGAATTCTTTCACAAATGCATATTCCACATATGGCGGTATCAATGACAACAAGTAATGCAACAAACAGTTATACATTACACATGCAAACAAGTTCTGAACATTTGAGTATGGCTATACGTGATATTATTGATCATTTCAAGTGGGGTTACGATCATAGCAAATTACTTTTTGTTTATGAAAAATATCAAAGTAAAAAATTTATGTTTTTATAGTATTGTTCAAAAATATAAGACCGATTTGTTTTTTTTTGTCTACAATGCCAAGCGGTTAAATTGAATTCAAATAGTTGTTTGAACAGTCAATAAAGATTTCTATCAAATGATTTGAATGCAGAACTTTCATAGATGGCTTATGAAAGGAAATTTTCAAGGTTCAGAAAAGTAGTGTAACAATTAGTTTTTAATAGTACTATCTGAAAGACCACAGAATCCTGAATAAAATATTGGACTACTACCTTTCCTACAGTCTTTTTTTAAAAACTTTTAAGCATTACAAAAACTGAGAAAAAAAGCGAAATTCATCATAATATTATTACAAATCGACTAAAAAAAACGCGCTTTTTTTAAAATTGTTTGTGAAGCTTGTAATTGTTTAAAATAAGATCATAGAGAATGCGACGACTATTCCTTTTATTCAGAACATTGTGTTCTAATAAGATGGTATTAATAGTTCATCTATGAAACCCCGATATAAGATGTCTTTAATAGAAAACTTCACTGCCTATTTAAACTACACTTTAGATTTGATTTAAATGCTTGATATCGTAGAAAATTAAATCAGAAAGATACATTGGTGTAGTACTGTATATTTTAACTTTTTTTCCTTTTTTTTCAAAGGTCTTGGTCTTTTATCAGATATTTTACGTGTAAAAAATAATCGTCAACCAGCAATCATATTAAAAGCATTAACAGTGGACTCAAAAGAATCAACGAGTGGTCATTCAATACTTGCTGAATTAAGAAATAAAGCTGATCCAAGT